TATTGTTTAAAATCTCCCTTTTTTTTAATAAGCATGCCAACTTGAGTTTTTTATTTACACTTTTAAGCTCTTCTAATTTCATATTTATACAATCATGGGTTGTTTCTATTTTTAATTGCGAATAATAATTTTGGGGACAGTTGATATTTGTATTTTCAGGTAGAATTGTATCATGAACAGTAGATGGTCGTGGCTGAGAAAATTTGAAATCTTGATAAAAAAAATTTTCTATTTTTGGCCAGTATGCATTTACTTTTTTTTTTCAAAACCTTAACGCGTTTATTTAAATGAACAACCGAAGTTTTAAGTAAACAGTAGGAATGTTAAAGGTGAGGAGCAACAAGATAAAGTTCTGTAACAGTTTTTGATAGATCCTTGTTTTTTTCAGTGAAGATGTTGTACACATATGCATTTGTATATTGCTTATCTTTAAAACTTTTTAAGAGAATATTGAAGTCCTGAATTGTTTTTACCATCTTCTGAAAACTTTAAAAAATTAAATTTCCATTTTCTTATAAAGAGTTAAGTCTTGAAAATTGACGAGTACTAAACGAAAAAAATATAAGTTTTTTTTTTTTTAATTTTTGGTGGGAGGCATATTTTTGGTGTGATCAACGCTCACCATTCAAAATTATGCACACTATTAGGGTAATACAATGCTATAACTGATTTTGTCATTAAATCAAAAAAACATCAAATACTTTCAAAAATATTTAGATAATAAAATGACCTTAATTTTTAAATCAAATTATCTCTACGAATAAAAATCTCAAAAAAATCTTTTAAACACAATTGTGAAGCTATGGTTCTAGTATTTAAAGTAATCGGATGAACAATGGAAAAACATACACCTCAAATTATTTTGTCGGCATAAAACGTCAGATCTTTTTTTTCTTAGCTGTGTTTTATCGATTATCGATATCGCGTTATCAGATTTTGAAGTGCCTAATTAAGTACTTTTTTATTTAAAACAAGACCTGAGAAACCATTAAAGATGTTAAATTATTTAACTTTTTAATTATTTTATTTTAAAATATTTGTCTTAGCTTTTTTTTCTACTATTTGTTTTATACAGTTAATTCTCAGTATGTTGAACACTGATTAACTTGAACTTTTGTTATCTTGAACTGTTTCATTTAATCCGAATTGCCTAATTGATTACTGTGAAATGTGGTTACTTTAGACAGTGGGTTACTGTGACTGTGAAATGTGGTCAGTTTGGACAATTGGTTACTTTGAACAAAAACATAGAGTAGAGCTCTTTCTATTAGAAAGAGATTTACTTAAAGTTTTTAGTAAACTTTGAGTATAACTCAAACTAGAAAAATTTTTAATCAAAGTTTTGAATAAAAATCTTTTTAGTTTAAAGAATTTTTCCCAAAGATTTTATCCAAATTTACCCCACTGTCCAAAGTAACCACATTTTATGGTACTATTAAAATTCTTTAATTAAGTTGAACCTCGCATAACTCAAACTTGGGTAAGTCAAATTCTTTTTTTGACCCTTTTCAGCAAATTTCTTTGGATAACTTGAACTTTATGTATGGGACTTACAGATATTGACATATTTTTTTAAAATATGGCAATATCTGTAAGTCACATAAAATATCTTAAGTCATTCTATATAAAACACAAATAAATGTTATGTTATTATTATTTATATCTAAATCTAAACTGTTGGAGATAAATTATCATAAAAAGCTTTAAAAATTTTTTTTACTTTAATGAATTTCTAAATTAAAGACCGCTAGCTTTTAGATGCGATCAACCGCTAGCTTTTAGATGAAATAGACCACTAGCTTTTAGATGCGATCAACTGCAAGCTTTTAGGTGCAATTTTGTAACCAAAAGGAAGTTATTGAGTAGCTAAACTTTTTCAAATGTGTTCTTCTTTAAATGTTCTTCGTGAATATAATTTGTTACTTCTATCATTGAAACATTTTTCATACTTTTATTAGTATAATAGTGTTAAGTTTACTGTATATACCTTAGCATTAAATGAAGAAAAATCACCTTAACTCGAACTAATATCAGTAAAAGTTTGACTTCAGTCAAACATTTGTTATCAAACCATTTTCCTTGGTCCCTTGGAGGTTTGAGTTATTGGAAATTAACTGTAGTTATAAATCAGAGAATTGCAATTTGATATTTTAATAATTAAATTAAAAAGAAATGTAATTTTAAAACTCATTTCGAATTGAAAAAAAAATCACTTTTTTTTTCAGTTCAAAATGAGTTTCAAAATGCAACTATAGCAATGAAAAAAATGATAAATTCACATTTTGAATTAAAAAAAAATGTGATTTTGAAACTCATTTCGAAGCAAGAAAAAAAAAAGTGATACAAAGTTAAAATAAAACATTTTAAATGCACATTTCTAATTGATTTTAATTGGGGCTTTGTTTTATTACCTTCAGTAAACTTGTATACAGCAACCTAATGTGTATAGCTACCCTGCCTGGCTACTGACTTGTAATTATTACTGAATTTCAGTTGCCCTTTACAAAAAAATGGTGTCCTATACTGCCAGGCACTCATTACGTTAAACCACTAAAAGTTAGCTATTATTGATCAATTTATTTTTATTTATTTTTAAAATAAAGTTATCTTTTTAGTGCTAAGTGAAAAGGCTGAGATTCTTCATAGTGTCTTCTTTTTTTGTATTTCTTGTTCTTAGTTCTTGATGCATAAAACAAATCTTACAACAACATACAACATTACTCAACAATTTTAAATATGACATCAAAGTTGGTGTTTAAATTGCAGTGATTTTTAAAAACATTGTTTAAATTTAATTTAAATTTGATTTGATTTCTTTTTTACAACTTTCATATTCTCTATTTCATTTTACATTTTCAAATTATAACTTTCATGTTTTTGGTTAAATCTTACCTTTCTTAACTACTACTTTCATGTTCCAAATTCCATTGAACTTTTATAAATCTCATTCCTCCTTATATGAAATACTGTTGTCATACTTTGGCTGTTTTTTTTATGATGCTCTTTCTCTTCTGGACTCCAAATAATTGTAAATGTTATTAATTGTAAATGACTTATCATTAGAGTTGCAAAAAAAACCGTTTTTTTTTAATTGTGTTTTTTTTGCAAAAAAAACATGTTTTTTTTGTGTTTTTTGTGTTTTTTATGGTTTTTTTTGTTTTTTAGATAAAAAAAAAAATTTTTACTTTTATTTAATTTTTATTTTTATTATAAATGTAATATAATATATATTAATAACATGATATATGGTAAATATATAGTACATCATTTAAAAGATTTATTTTTAATTAATAACAGATTCTGTATTCTGGCTTTCTTGTTCATTAAGGTCTTCTATTGTAAAGTCAAATCCGTATTCTTCAGAGTCGCTTGATAACTCTGACTCTAAACTCTTGTACTCTCCTAAAATGTAGGATGCAATTTTATTTTTCTGAGTTGTGAATGGAACTCTTGTTGAAGAATACAATCGTTTTAAGGGAGGCTTATCTGATTTGGTTTTATTTGCCTTACAGTCTCCAAACTTAGGGGTTGTAGACCTACTTTGGTTTCCAAAACAGCTTGGTGTTGGAAAGAAAGACTCAATTGGAATTGTGGAATAGCAGATGATAAACATATTTTTTTCTCTTTTTTCATATCTTGAATAGGTAAGTTTTCAGGAATATCTTCTTCCATCATTAGTTCAGTTTGAACTTTCTTCTGTTTAAAAGGCATATCGTTCAAATATTTGTTTTTTATTTGATCGCCACATTTCATACATTTTGCAATGTGCTCAGTCATTCGAGTGCCATTTTTTGATAGCTTTAAGCTGCAAAATTTGCATATAACTTGTTGAATTTTAGAACCTCCAGATTCTAAAGGTGCCTCATTGAACAATGTAGCTACAAAACATTTCTTTCTGCCTGGCATATTTTTTTTTAGATTTCTTTTTTTTTTTTTAATTAAAAATAATTAATAGATTACAAATTGTTTAATATAAATGTTTTTTCATTAGACAAATTTAATCATTGTGTTATTTTTATTTACTTGAATATTGTTTGAATAAATAAAATTTTAGCTATCTAATTGCAATTTAAAATAAAATAAAGAATTTAAATATTAAAAATTTAAAAAAGTAATATACAAAAGTAAATAAAACATTAAAGTAAATTTTATTTAACAGTTGGTTCATTTTTGTATTTTGCAATGCAGTGTTATTTCATTCATTTTTATGAATGAAATAACACTGCTAAAATAACATTTTTATTTCCTTCATTCAGTAGTATTATACTTACAATTAACTAGTAGCTAATAGTATAGTTTTTTTGAGATTTATTTAAAAAATTACTTTTTTAAATATTTAATACTGTTTTTTTTTAATATTGGTGATTAGTTTGTAACAGCTATTATATAAGTTAATATGCATTTTATTAAATAGAAAACATTTGTATTTTGTAGGTTTAAGGGCACTGGAACTGTTTCAAGTATTATTACTATCTAAAATTTAATGAATACTAAAAAAAAGCAAAAAAAACTAAAAAAAACATGTTTTTAGAACCAGTCTGTTTTTTTTGCAAAAAAAACGTGTTTTTTTTAAAAAAAACACACCGTTTTTTTTGGGGTTGCAACTCTACTTATCATTGAGCTAGTTTAAATTCTTTTGCTGTAAATTTTAATTTGTCTAGTTTTTTCCTCAAACATAGGTGGTTCTTTTTGGTTTGGATAGTTTGGAGTACTCCATATTTATGTTTCCTTTACTCTACTCTGATACAAGTTGTTGTTGTTGTTGTTTTTTTAAGGAAGGGGTAGCAAATTGCGGCATACTTTTTAATTAAATACTTATTATTTTATTAATGTATTGTTTTATAATTACATTGTAATTATATTGCTACATAAAATAAATAAAGAAGCAAAAGCTGTACAAATTAATTGTGGTAAGAAAATCTTAAAAAGATGACAAAAGTTTAAATATTCTTTTTTATTTAATCTATTGTTGATAATTTAATTAATAATGATTTATTTAGGAAGATCCTTTACAAAGACCTAAAGTTGATGATTTAGTTAACAACAGTTTATTTAAAGTTAATGTTGAAACAGTCTCAAATGAGATCAATTGTATTCGTTCAAAAAAGAATTCGTTCAAAAAAGAAAGTAACAATTTTGGAATCCAAAATGGTCTTGCAAACGACATTGTTCAATTGCAGTAATAAATTTTTTGTTTGTTTTTTATATATTTTTTTTATTGCTCAGCACACTAAGTTTTTTAAAACTAACCTAAAAGCTAACTTGTATTGATATTACTACAATAAGATTTTAAAACAAACTGAAGAAACTTGTATTTTTTTTTTATTTTACTTTTTTTTTTTATTTAACTATAAATTGACATAGTAGTAAAAATTTCAACAGTTGACATTTTATAATATATATATAATTATATATCATTTTTTTGAATTTATTATTTTGATTGCTATTGCAATATATTTCATACTCTCTACGTGTAATCTGTTTGCAATCAAGGTTTTTAATTTTAGTATCAAAAAATAATGAAACATTTTAAACAATAAATAACTATTGATAATAATAAACATTGTAAGAAATAATTACTAGTAATAATAACAATATAGGAACTTTTTTTACTATTTTTTTAATGTAATTAAATTATTGTGGGGTGTTATCTGATAGATGAAAGATTAGAACAGCTCAAATACTTTTGCTGCTCTTCCCAAAACAACTTCATAAAAGGTGATATATTTTTTTGATCACAAGCTGAATATATTGAGATCAAATCTTTACTGAGTTCTGAGCAAATTTTTTTACTAGATTTGTCAAAAGCAGATTTTATTAGTTCAGTTTCTTCTTTGATAAGTCTGCATTGCTGCAAAGCCAGTTTAACTCTATTAGGGGAAGTTACAGAGATGGGTGCATTCAATTTAGCAGGAGTTTTAAGAGTAGATTTTTTAGAGAGCTTATTAGAATGAGCTTTAATATTCAGTTCATGACAAAATCTGCATGGTTGATTTTTTCCAAAGACTAATAATTGACAAGAATTGCTGCGATAAAATTCAATTTGATGCAGTTTAGACTTTATTAAAGAGTTTTTATAAACAAAATAATCAAAAGTTTTAGGAACAACATGCTTATGAAAATTTAACACTTCAATAGGATCAGGAAATTTTATTCCATTGCAAATTTCTAAAGATTCTATTTCAAAAATAATTTGTGAAAAAACAACATTAAGAAATGATCTGTTATATTTCAAATACAAATCATGTTTCAAGTAACATCGATCCATACACACGAATAGTAAAATAAAAGGAATCTTCTACAAAAATTTCAAATTTTGGAATGACTTCTTCTAATAACTTAAACGAAACATAACATAAATTATCAAAAAATTCAATCTTCCATAACTTATTTAATGAAGACAAATTAAAAAGACGTTTTTTGAAGTCCACAAAGTTTCTATTACAATAAGACTTTTCGATTGAAGAACTTTCAAAAAGTAACTGATAATCATCTCGCTTAGATATGGACGACGAGGATCGAGAAACAGCAATTGAAACTGGGGCTTCTGTGCTTTTACTTGGTAAATTTAGTGATGGTAGCTCCCCATCTTTCAACTTTTTTTTTGTTTCATAACACCAAATTTGCTCAGATGAAAAGTGAAGCTCGCAAATCCATAGTTTTTTATGTTCAAAATCGTTTATTTTCTTTCGAAGAATATCATCAACTCGATCTTTTGTGATTATGTTAATCAAGTCTGAAGCCCATTTCTTAGTAAAATCATCCGTTTCTTTAGGAACTTTAAAGAAAGCAACTCCAGTATATCTTCTAGAGGCAGAACATCCATAAATTGAACAGTTTTTACCCGGCATTTGCAATATCTATTGAGTTCTTTAAAGGAAAACAGTTAGTTCGTTAGAAAAACAATAGGATTTTTTAAAATTTGTGCAGGGTCGGAGATCTGGGGATAGCAAAAATCGAATCAATAAGTTCAAACAATCGGTCATTGTTCGCTTCCAGACTATCTATTTCTTATGACTATGTTTAAAACTACAGGTGGTTTGCATAAAAAACTAAAATTACTATAAATTGATATAGTAGAAACATAAAACTTTTAAACTTATAAAAATTTATTAAGATTAAATATGTTTTTAATAATATTCATATCTTTCAAAGTGATAATATTTACTTTCAAAGTGATAAATAAATGAAAATGATATAATACCGAATATTATCCACAGTTTTTAAAATTGTGTGTAATGCTAAAAAAAGCTCTGCGTTAGGCGTAAGGCAACATTCTGTGTGTTAATCAAAAAAAAAATTTTTTTATTTAGTTTGAACCAGATTTTGGACAGGCTTCCGAAAAAATTTCTTGAACATGAACACATAAGTCATGGCAACTGCGTCGACTAATAGATTGCAATACAAATCTTAATTTAAAATCATTTGAAGAAGTATTAGTTGTTGTGTCGATGCGAAATCTGAGTATTAATAAATTAAATAGTGAAGTGCGAAAACGAGCAACATTTGTATTTCTCCTCAAAAAACAAAATATTTTTTTAATAAACAACAAAAAAACGATTTATAAAAATCATGACTCGTACATTACTATAGCAATTTTTCGATATTTTTGATAAAGATTTTAAATATTTTTTTATAATTTTTTCTAATGAGTGTTTTGGTGTGTTTTTATGTTTTATAAATTTGAAAATGTATATAAATTTGATTCTACAAAACTTTAATACATTATATATTAAAAAGATAATTTATTTTTTTATGCAAATTTAAATTGAATTTATGGTTAAATGTTTATGTTAAATAATATTTACTTCTATTATATTTTTGGAAACCACGGATTAATTTCTTTTGTGTCGTTTTAGAACAATTTAAGTTTTATATATATGATATATATTTTTTACTCCATAAAACAATTTAGGTTTTATAGAAATAGAAATTTTTTTTTATCTATCGATAAAGCAGTTTAATTTAGGTTATAGCTTAATAGTAGGTTTGAAGCAAATCACATATTAAAACCTTAATCGGCAAGAGGGTATTTTTGCTTTTTGTTTTTGCTTTTTAGTTCTTTTAATATTTAAGTCTTTGATTTTTCAATTAATGCTTCTTAATCTTCTATTTTTCTTTTTCGAATTATTTTATGATGCACTGTTATGTTTAAATTTTTAGAATATTTTAAAGACCATTCTCACTCCATTTTGATCTATTTTTTTATTATAAGAACCACTCTCACGCGTTTTCACCAAAATAGAGTTTTTATAACTTGTTTATATATTGAATTCGTATCTTGTAATGATATTGTAGTTGGTTGACTGCGTAAAGCGTGTTAAATGGCCTACAATTTCTCCAAGTGTTAAGCAATTTTTTATTAAAATCAGATTCTCGGAATATAACGATAAAGTTTTAGTATCTTTTGATGTTTTAAATTTATACCTGTAATTTCTGTTTAAAAAAAAAGTCTTTGATGTACTTACAGATAAATAACATTTTCTATATACAATTAAATAATATTTTTATCATATACAAATTTCATAAAGTGAAGTCGACTTGAAACAAAATATTTTTTTCAAGCTCAGACTTTTATTTAAGGAATAATAAAAATCTCTTTAATTTCTAATAAAAATTTCTCCAAATATTTTCAATATAGCTTGGGCGAGTATGCATATAACCAAATTGAAAACTTTATATTGATCGATATAAATGAGTACTATTCTTGCAGCATGTTTTTGATTTTGAGTGCCACTAGGTTGGATTTATGGGTCTTTGCCCATGCTATATTACCATACGTATAATAGGTTTGAATAAAAAAGAAATAAAGTTGTTTTAATTTTTTTGGGGTAATATCGGTCTAGCTTTGTAAAGCATACAAATGTTGTTTCTTATTTTAGTATTTAAAAAGTTTATGTGGGATTTCCGTGAAAAATTTATCATCGATAAGTATCCCTATAAATTTTGTTGCTTTGGTTCTTTCGATAATTTTATTTTCTATTTTAAGAAATGGTAATATATTTGGTATAGATTTTTTCTTTGATTGGAATGGAATAGAACGTAGTTGATTTTTTCTGTATTCAATGATAATTTGTTAGATTTAAACCAAGTATTAAGTTTTTTAAGGTCAATACTTGCAGTTTCAAAGAGTTCTGTGATAGAAGTAGATGAACAAAATAAATTAGTATCATCTGCAACCATTATGGTATCAAGTTTGTTTGACACTTTTGGAAGATTATTGATGAGTAAGGGAGCTAGAATGGAACCTTAGGGAACTTCGCATTTAATTTTAAGCAATTTTGAATAGATACTTTATTCTGTAATAACAGATTGCTGTCTGTTTATAAAAAGCTCTGAAACCAATGTAAAGCAACATTTTTAATGCCATATTTTTCCATTTTTTAAGTAATATAGCATGATCAATAGTATCAAATGCTTTTGATAGGTCAATAAAGATTCCTAGAAAAAATTTTTATTAGGGGAGAACGGGGCAACATGGCGATGGGGGCAAGATGACGAATTGCTTTGCCTAACCGAACCGCTCAATAAAGAATAGTTTAAATAGATGGTAATGAAAAATGTCTACATGGGTCTTATTTTAAATAACATTTGGTTTTTGTAATTATTGTCCACGTGGATTTATTCACAAAAGTCTATTTTTACGATTTTTAAAATAATTTTTTTTTCAGTTTGGTCCTTACTATTCTAGTCTGCGCTGCCTTTTGCATGCTGCAAAACTATTATTTGGTGCAAAAAACATTTTTCAATATTATTATAGTAAATGTTTGTGCAGCTGTTGTAGAGTATTAGAGTTATTGATGGAATTAGAATAATTGTGTCAGCGGGGCAAGTTGATCGGGGCAAGATAACGAGACCTTACAAAATTTGTAACCCCCTCAAATTGAGGGGGGTTAAAGCTTTGTGCAATTATAATTTTTGAACACTAAGAGATTATTGCATGAAATTTAGAATTTATCGATGAATATAAATTTACTTGAGAATTGTACAAAAAATATTTTATCAACTTGTTGCTCTCTTGTTTGGGGTTTGTGTGGCCAAAATTTTGGGGCTTTTTTGTTCCCAGACTCCAATCATCGCAATTTTTTGCAAATCATCTTTATTTGACATAAGTATAAACATATAAATTTTTGGGGTTTGTACCATGTCTGGAAGTTAGTTATCTCAAACATCAAAAAATGCTGGATCCGCGCCTATATATATATATATATATTTATATATATATATATATATATATATATATATATATATATATATATATATATATATATATATATATATATATATATATATATAAATTAGGCATCTGTGCGTGGGTTTAAATTATTAGACTAGTGTATATAGTTGTTTATATTTATTATATATATATAAATATATATATATACATATATATATATATATATATATATATATATATATATATATATATATATATATATATATATATATATATATATACATATATAAATATATATGTATATATATATGTATATATATATATATATATATATATATATATATATATATATATATATATATATATATATATATTTGTATATATGTATATATATTTTTTGTATACATGTTTTTAGGTATCTGTGTGTAAAGTTAAATTAATAGATTAGTGTATATATTTTTTTTTGTGTGTTCTGTGTATATATATATATATATATATATATATATATATATATATATATATATATAACTCTTTATTTGTTGTTTAAGAAATGGTTCGAACATACATAAGAAAAACTACTAGAGGTGTTAATGGTAATTGGACCAGTGAAAATCTATATTTAGCATTTGAAGCTGTGCAAAAAAACAGTAGTAGTATAATAAATCAAGCATCAACGAATTTTGGAATTCCTGAGTCCACACTTCGTCATTTTATATGCAAGTCTCCAGAAAATTATCCAGTCAATAATGGAAGATTCCGCAAAGTATTTTCTGATGAAATTCATTGTTCACCTCAGTATGTGTTACTACGGATTTACAGCTCTGCAGCTTAGGCAGTTAGCTTATGAGTTTGCTGAACAAAACAACTTGCCTCACTGTTTTGATCACAATACAAAACTTGCAGGTAAAGATTGGCTTGCAAGTTTTATGAAACGAAACAGTCAGATATCACTAAGGGTACCAGAGAAGACGTCACTTGCTAGAATGCAGGGGTTTAATGAGACTCAGGTTATGAAGTTTTTTGATCTTCTTCAGAAATTGCTACTTAAGCATAAGTTTTCAGCCAGTAGAATATACAATGTAGATGAAACAAGTGTGGCCACTGTACCAACAAAGCTTCCAAAAATACTCTGCAAAAAAGGGGTAAAAAGAGTAGCTAAAGTTGTATGTGCAGAAAGAGGAAAAACTGTAACTTTAGTGTGCAGTATGAATGCAATCGGTAATTATGTTCCTCCTGCACTTATATTTCCACGTAAAAAAATGCGCTATGAGTTCCTGGATGATGCTACATCAGATTCATTAGGTTTGGCTTACAAATCAGGATGGATGACACAAGAACTTTTTCCAGAGTATCTGAAGCATTTTTCCAAACACACAAGACCAACCCAAAATGATCAGTGTTATTGACAGTGTTATATACAGTGTTATATACAGTGTTATATACAGTGTTATATACAGTGTTATTGATTCTAGACAATCATTCATCACATCTTAGTTTGGCAGCCATAGATTACTGTCTTCAATCTAATATAGTCATGCTAACACTTCCACCGCATGGAAGTCACAGGATACAACCTTTGGATGTCACTTTTTTTGGACCCTTTAAAACATATTTTTGTCAATCAAGTGACAATTGGATGACAAGTCATCCAGGCAGAGCAATTACAGAGGCTTAAATTGGCAAATTAGTTAAAGATGCTTTTGATAGAGCTGCTACTTCAGGAATAGCTACAAAGGGTTTTTTTGAAACTGGAATTTGGCCTTTCAATCAAAATATATTTACTGCTGCAGATTTTGCTCTATCTTTGACCAGTGATCGCTCACCTCAGTCAACCGTGCAAATTCAATCGGGTTTATGACATTGACATCAGACCCAGTTGTTTATGAATCTCTTATGACATTGACATCAGACCCAGATCAGCATTTGTTGCAGGTCATGGAGCCATCAACAACATTTTTCACACCTGTAATTATAAAACCAATCCCTTTTTCACATCGAGTTCAACAGCTGTCTTGTCGTAAACGAGTGTCACAAGGTTCTGTAGTTGCTACAAATTCTTCATTTAAAAATCAAGTTAAATTAAAAGAAAGTGTGAAGAAAGCACAGGTTGATAAAAAAAATTAAAGAGCAAAAAAAAAATTGTTGAAGAAAGTGGAATTGGGGCTATCTGGTGAAAAAAAAGCTGCTTTACTAACAAAGAAATCTAAATGATTTACAGAAGGCAATACATTGGAGAAAAATAAGCCTCAGTCAAATAAAGCACCATGTATACTTGACAGTGGAAAGCAATTCAACAAAGAGCTTAACCAAACTGAAGATGAATCACCATGTTTGTGTAGTTATTGCGGATATGTTTTTGAAGATGAAATGGATCCATTATTTGAAGACGACTGGCTAAGCTGTAAACAATGTTATAACTGGGCTCATGAAAGTTGCGGTACTGTCATTGGCAGTTTTACTTGTTATGG